ATTCTATCTTAGATGCTGGTCTTACTGATTTTCCTATGGGTGGTTACCCATGTACTTGGGAACATGGTCGAGAGTCTAATGTTCTTATTGAGGAGAAACTTGATCGCGTTCTTGCTTCGGCTAATTGGGTTGGTCTGTTTCCTTTGGCACGTGCTCATGTTCTTGATACCTCTTCGTCTGATCATCTACCGTTATTTTTGGAAGTTCGAACTTAGTTCGAACTTAATATGACCCGTCAGTGGCTAGACGTTTTAAGTTTTAAGTTTGAAAATTCATGGGTTAGGAATCCAGCTTGTCGTCAATTGGTTCATGATAGTTGGGTTGCTTCGCAAGATATGGACTTGTTAGACAGATTGGCTTTTTGTAGTTCAGCATTGGACCGGTGGGGTGTGGAGCAACGTAATTTTGATAGGAATTTGTTGGCAGATTGTAGACGGATTATGAATGTGCTTCGGGGTTCTAGAGTTCCTGTAGACATTCAGAGTTTTATTGCGGCTAAAAAAATTTTCATGATTTATTGAATGATCGTGAAATTCGTTGGAAGCAGAGGTCTAAGACGTTTTGGCGTAAGGAGGGAGACAAGAATACCCGTTTTTTCCATATGGCTGCATCTATACGTTTTAAAAAGAATCAATTTTCTAAATTAAAGAATGCTAGGGTGTTTGGGTGGAGGATGATTCGGGTTTGGATAAGCTAATCACGGGGTATTTTTTTTGATATATTTACTACTAATGTAGGTGATGTTGGCCCGGTTGTGGATCATGTTCCTGTATGTGTGACACCGGATATGAATGCTGACCTTATGGCTCCGTATACTGCGGATGAGATTAAAGTGGCGGTATTTAGTACGAAGCCTGATAAAGCTCCTGGAATACGAAGCCTGATAAAGCTCCTGGAATGGATGGCTTTAATCCAGCGTTTTATCAAAATTATTGGGATATTGTTAGTCCTTCAATTTCACAGGTTTGCATCCAGTATTTGAGTCAGGGTGTTTTTCCTAGTGAACTAAATAATACTCTCCTTGTGCTTATTCCAAAGAAGGATATCCCTGAAAGTATGGGTGACTTACGACCAATAGCTTTATGCAATGTTGTGTATAAGATTATGAGCAAAGTTATTACTAATATGCTTCGGCGGATTTTGTCTAACATTATTTCTCCATCGCAATGTGCTTTTATTCCTAACCGTTCTATACAGGATAATAGCATTATTGCTTTTGAGTTGATGCATTTTTGGTATGCGGCATTGAAGATGGATATTTCAAAAGCCTATGATAGGTTAGAGTGGAGTTATATTACTGTCGTTTTGGATAAGATGGGGTTTAACCATCAGTGGATTAGTTTGGTAATGGGGTGTGTTTCAACGGTTTCTTATTGGATTTTGCATAAGGGTAACCATTTGGGTCCTATTGTTCCGTCTAGTAGTGTGCGTCAGGGGGATCCACTTTCACCTTATTTGTTTATTCTTTGTGCGGAGGGTCTCTCCCGCATGATTCAATCTGCTGTTAATGCAGGACTGTGGCATGGTTGTTCTATAGTTCGTGGGGCTCCTTTTATTGACCATTTATTTTTTGCTGACGACAGTTTGCTTATTTTTAAGAGTTCGTGGGGCTCCTTTTATTGACCATTTGTTTTTTGCGGACGACAGTTTGCTTGTTTTTAAGGCTGATACTTCTGAAGCAGCTATGGTGAGAGGAATTATTAATGGGTATGCTCAAGCATCAGGTCAGCTTATTAATCTCTCCAAATCTTCTGTATGTTTCTCCAAGAATGTTTCGGAATTGGTTCGATTACAAGTTTGTGGTGTTATGGGGGTGGAAGAAAACCCAGATTTGGGTTACTATCTGGGCTTACCAACTCGTATTGGTCTCATAAAGAGAGAGGTCTTTGGCTTTATCAAGGATCGAGTTTGGAATAAGTTAAATTCACTAAAGTGGCATTGTTTGTCACGAGCGGGGAAGGAAATTTTGTTGAAGACTGTACTACTAGCCTTACCTAATTATGTTATGAATTTTTTTTTGCTTCCTAAATCTCTTTGCAAGGAAATTCAAAGCATAATATGTAGTTTCTGGTGGGGACGTGATATGCAGCAACGGAGGGGAATTAATTGGATTAGTTGGGAGAGGATGTGTAGACCGAAGTTTTTGGGTGGCCTTGGGTTTAGAAGGTTATATGAGTTTAATAGAGGAATGGCTGAGACCGAAGTTTTTGGTGGCTCTTGGGTTTAGAAGGTTATATTAGGTGTAAAAAAAAGGTATGTTTTAAATTTAGCCCCAATGGTAGTAAGCAAGCTTGGCGATTTTTCCATGAATCCCGACTTTCTGTCGTTGGCTGTAACATTTGTTGATTAAGCTAAAGTTTAATTTTCCTCTATCTAATTTTTCTTGAGTCGGAGTCTGGGTAACTAGGGGAGGCCTAGATTTTATTGGTCGGCAGTCTTGGGAATAGCCAGCGAGTTTGTTCTGTGGCCAGGTGTCTTGTTTTGCGGGTAGGTTCCGGTTTCCAAACTATTTAGCTCATTTAGGGCAGGAAAATGCTTAAGTTGCGTCAGTATCTTCAATGAAAATTGTTCGACAACTCTAGGCAACAATTGCATCCCCTGGTTTAACTGTGGGTTAGATCTTATTGAGAAATTCACCCTGGAATAATTGGAGCGTATAATTCAATAATTATTGCTGAGGCCTCAAGATACTGCTTTTTTTTTTGAACCGAATTATCTCTATTCCTTTGAGTAGGCGGTGGTGGTGATTGAGTGTGGTTTCTGGAGGTTTGGATAAAAAAGGTGTTATCAGTTAAAAGTGCTTATCGTAATCTTTACTTTTATTGAGCCCTTCCAACAAAAGTAACAGTCCAGCTTATTGCAGGTTTGGGTTATCTGCAATTGATTGAGAATGTAGGCGTTTGCAATAATTCCCGTTCCGCCACAGTGATAATTATTAATTTTAATTTGGAGGGACTAAAGAATAAATTTGCCGTCTTGTATTCAATTTAGTGTTGGTATTGGGATGAGGAATCTGCATAATTTTATTTGGAGGCTATTGAATAATGCCGTTCCTTGTATTAAAGTGTTGTAGGGATGAAATCTGCATGTTGATGGTATTTGTGCATTTTGTCAGTATTGTGAGGAAGATGTGTTTCATGTGTTTGTGCAGTGTGATTTTGCCAGAGAATGTTGGTAGTCTTCCTCAATTGGATTTCGATTTGGTCATTGTTTGTCCTTTTGGGATTGGTTTAAGAGCATGGCTACTGTCCTTGGTGAGTTTGAGTTTAAAGTGCAGATAATGATTTTGTGGGCTATATGGGAGGCAAGAAATGATTTATTATGAAAGGATAAGAGGTTGTCATCATTTCAGGTTGTTAGGAGAGCAAATAATTTATTAAGTTGTTGGACCCAAGCTAATGGTGTTGATGGTGATATGGGTAGGATGGTAGCGCGTGTTTCTTGGTCTAAACCAAGTCAAGGAATTCTTAAATTGAATGTTGATGGTGCTTTGTTTAATGGAGATTATGCTGGTATAGGTGCAGTTATTAGAGATTCGAATGGGGCCTTTGTCCGAGCTTTGCAAATGTCCATCCTTAGTAATTTTGAACCATGTACTGTTGAGGCAATGGCTATTAGAGAGGTTTTGAGTTGGGTTAAGGAAGTGGGGTGGTCTTCTGTGGTTGTGGAGTCAGATGCTCAAACTTGTGTACAGGCTATTACTGATCCCAACTATAGTGATGGCTCTGCTTTTGGATTAGTTATTTTAGACTGTAGATCTCTTCTCGATGAGTTGAGGAAAGTGAGATTAGTCTTTGTTCGTAGGTCTGCGAATGGTGCTGCTCATATGCTTGCTAGAGCTGTTACCATCTCGACAGGCAAGGTGGTTTGGTCTGACCGACCACCTGTTTGTATTTTTGATATTTTTGCTCATATGCTTTGCCTAAAGAGCCGTTACCATCTCGACAGGCAACGTGGGTTTTGGTCTGATCGACCACCTGCTTTGTATTTTGAATATTTTAAGGCTATTGAAGTGTTAATAATATCCTACAATTATAATTCCTCTGCTCAACCAAAAAAAAAAATAATAATAGCCACACAGTGAGATTAGTCTTTGTTCGTAGGTCTGCGAATGGTGCTGCTCATATGCTTGCTAGAGCCGTTACCATCTCGACAGGCAAGGTGGTTTGGTCTGATCGACCACCTGTTTGTATTTTTGATATTTTAAGGCTTGAAGGTTAATAATATCCTACATTATTTTAGTCAAAAAAAAAAAATAATAAATAGGCCACAAAGTAGCTTACACTTTTACCTAACATAGAAAACAATAATTATTGAAAAAGTGGACAACTAATAATAATAAGGCCACAAAATGGCTTACAGAAGTGCACGACTAATAATAAAAATGCTACAAAGTGACTTACAAAAGTTTACAACCTTTAATTAACACACCCGCACTTTTAAAAACAAAACGTGACCGTTTTTAAAACTTAATTAAGTCTAACATATATTCGTTTCTGACGTCAACGATTGTGGCCAAATTTAAAATGATATAAGTGAAAATATATTCATCGAATATATGAATAAAGGATAACTCTATATTTATTGACAATTATTTTGACTTTTAATATCAAAACTTTAATTTTGCGGCTAAATTTATACAAATGACCACCGTTACTATCAAACGAAATGAAAAAGTGATCTAATAATTTATCCCTTGAAATGCACATATATTAAATGCTGAGAATATTTGTGTTTGTCACTTTCCTTGATTGATGAGCTTCAATCTTAAAATAAACATATACACTCCAAAAATATTTGTGTCTTTTTAACTTGACTTATATTCTAAAATTACTATTTAGAGTAAAATTCTCTACATAAGAAGTACATCCAAAAAGGAAATTTTCTCTAAAAAGAATGGAGAGAGTATATTTTAAAAAACATCGGGATAGATTAGTTTTATTTCGCAAACTGCAAGGGTCGTATTGTAATTTTACCAAAAACAAAAATAAATAATGCGCAGGCCTCTGTCAAATTGGAAAAACATCACTCTCTGCTCTCCTGCTTCTTCTCCGCTCTGCTAATTACTCCTTCAATAACCCATTAGCTTTTCTCAACCTATCACTCAAAATTCCCCAAAACCCATAAAGCAAATAGCTCACTTTTTGCCTCTCTAGCTCCTCTCGACCAACTCGACCCAGACCCACCCGCCTTCCTTCTTGAATGAGCCCGAATTCTCGGAAAGGGTATGGATCCTCCATTGATAAATGAGACCTCTTTCTCTGCAGCCAACCCATCTTCCTACACTTTGACAGAGATTTGGCCGTTTTCATCAATTAACGGAGGGGCTGACAGTGGCAGGTTGGGACTCCGGATGGGGAATTTGATTGCCGGGTCAGATGGGTCGGTGGAGGAATCCACAGTGACTGACCAGAGTATTTCTGGAGCCTGTGGAAATGGGAGGAAGAGGAGAGTTTTGAGTTCGGAGGATGAGTCATCTAAGATGGTTTCTACTACAAGTAGTGGAAATGAATTGGTTAGTTCTTTATAAAATATGTTTCTTTCCCCTTCGCCTTCTGTTTTGTTTGCTGTGAGAATGGAGGGGGTATTTATTTTATTGTTGCGATGTGTGGATTTTATTACGGATTTATTTTGATTCAATGCAAGCTTGAATGTTCATTTTTCTGGTCCCAAAGGATATCCTCAGATTTTGCGGTTTTGGGATTATATTGACTTTTTCTATTTGTAAGAAAAGTTTTCCTGGCAATTGAACTTTCTATTTTCTTTTGTTTCCTAAAGAGAGAGAGGGAGAATGGGCTAGATGTTATTTTACGGTATGAAAATTTTCAACCTTATGGAATTAAGACCACAGGGGTCAAGACTCAAGAAATATAGTAGGTTTTGTTTTGAAGATGATGTGTTTGTATCTGTATTTATTTTTCTCTAATGATAGTCAATAGTTTATATTTTAGAATTTCTTATGGTGATTCTTCTTGTATTTGTGACAGAATAGTTCAAATGGTAAGCGGATGAAATTTTCAGGATCCAGAAATGAGAATGTTAATTCAAAAGTTGAACTAGAAGCTAGTTCTTCTAACAATGATAAGCCAGCTGAACAAAGCAGTAAACCATCTGAGCCGCCTAAGCAAGACTACATTCACGTGAGAGCAAGAAGGGGTCAAGCAACTGATAGCCATAGTCTAGCTGAGAGAGTAAGTAATTCAATGGAAACCCCTTGAATTTACAAATTTTATTCTTATATTATTAATGTTTATACTTACATAATATATGTGAAAATGTGTTTATCCTTGAAGATATATTATTTTTTACTCAATATAATTCTTTTTGTTTCAAACCTTAAATAATGGTGATTTAGTTTATATGCGTATAGGATTTATTGATAATATATAAAACAGTTTCTGATATTTATAAAATATATGAAACAAAATTAGGATAACCATTCCCAAACCATTCCCACTTGCTGTCACCTTGCATTTTTTTCCCTCACCACATCCCCACCAATTTTGCAACAGAGCAAGGATTACAATAACAACAACTAAGCCTTAGTTCCAGGCTAGTAGGGGGTCAGCTGTGTGAATCCTTTGTTTTTAATATCCGCTCTGATCAAATTAATAGCTAGATAAAGCAAAATGTAAGTTGGAAAAATTTTAAAATACTTTTTGTAGCAAACAATTTCTATAAGGGGAATATTAAGATTATTTGATATATTAATAAATAGAACAAAGCATAAGATAGGCAACAACAACTAGCTAGGGTCTGCTATATAAATCTTTTATTCCATTCTGTTCAGTTTTTAACTATATCCTCACTAATATCCAAAGATCATAGATTGTTTGCAAGGTTTAGAATAGCAAAATTACCTAGTCTAGTCTCTTACTTAACATTGCCATTCACAATCCTTTTCATGGAAAAGATAAACACAAAACAGGATATTCAATTAATCCTTGAGACATGTTACTTATTACATACCATCGTTATTGTCAGGCTAGGAGAGAAAAGATAAGTGAGAGGATGAAGATACTGCAAGATTTGGTCCCTGGGTGTAATAAGGTATTTATTATTGTGTTATTTTGATCTGTGTTGTAATTGTACATTGTGTTTAAATCCTGATATTTTTTCCCAGGAGGATATATAATGAATTTTGTGTCCTGTATTATATTTATGTCTTTATGTGTATCAAAATTATGGTGTTTGCACAAGTTCCTTATTCTCCTTTGTTTCACTTGGAATATTTTCTTCATACAACCAGGTTATTGGTAAAGCACTTGTTCTTGATGAGATAATTAATTACATCCAGTCATTGCAGCAGCAAGTTGAGGTAGTATCCCCATAGTCTTTGCTATCACATTATAAGATATGTTTCTATATTTGTTATAAACTGAACCTGGATTTATGCTATTTTTTTAACTTTATTTTTGCAGTTCCTGTCAATGAAGCTAGAAGTGGTTAATTCAAGAATGAACATGTGTCCTTCAATTGAAGGCTTTCACCTAAAAGATGTAAGTTTACCAGATTGACTTGTTACTTTAGATTTTCATCAGCATATAAGTTAGTTACTCATGCTGTGGACTTGGTTTCAGTTTGGTTGTGTATATTGATGATGAGTGCTAAGAGGACGGCAGTGTAACTGTGAAAATGGAATTTGCATATCACAAACATTTATCAAATTTAGCTGGTAACTAAAATTAGACCCTGGAAAGTTTATAGAATTTAATATTTATTAGGATCACTGTTATTGAGCAATGATGAGTATATGCTGTTTTTGATTTATCTGAATGTTCTTTTGTTAAATGGGTATATGCTTCATTGAGTATGTGCTGTTATTGAAGGAACCATAAGGCAGTCGGGAAACTTTCACTATTAATATTCAATATCCTTTGAAAGTTCATCCAAAGCCATTGTTTCAATGAAGCCTTTCAAATAATCTGCTATTTGAAGTGTGTTTGTGTGCTAGAAAGAGAGAGACATTTTCGGTTTCCAAAAATGATTAATTAAAGTGGAATATTTGGTCTATGTAAATTTTGGACTTAATAAAATATTTCTGGAAGGTGGATGCTAGAATTGTTCATGTCTGTAAATATATTCCTGTAATTTGGATGAACATATTCTCAAAAGAATACATGATGTAGATATTTTAGTATTACTTCTTGTTGTACTCTAACTTATTCAATTACAAAACAATTGCATTTTTCTTAATTTTTTTTTTCATTTGCTTTATGCTTCTTGCAATAAATGAAAATGAAATTAAGATGGCCAGCATTCCTTCAAAAAAAAAAAAAAAAAAAAAAAATCATCCAAAACCTCACCATTGTTTCAATGAAGCCCTTTCAAATAATCTGCTTTAATTTGAAAGTAATGCTCGTGTCGCGCTAGAAAGTAGAGAAGACCATTTTCACGTTCAAAAATGATTAATTTAAATGTGGAATACTCTCTTACTTTGTATTTAATTTTTGGACTTAACTAATAGATATTTACTGGTAAGTGATTGCCAAGAATTTGTCATTGTCTGTAAATATTATTTCCTGTGAGCACTTTGGATGAACATATCTCCAAAAGAAATACATGGAGGGGTCAATAAGAATAATGTGGTTTAGTATACTTTGGGGTCTGTAAAAAACTAAACACCTATATTCATTAATTACTTAAACATTGTCATTTTTCTTTAATTTTTTTTTTTCATTTGCTTTATGCTTTGCAATAAAATTGAAATGAATAAGATGGCTGCAGATTCACTTCAAAAAAAATAAAGAAAAAAAAATAAAAAGAAGATAAACTATAAGATAAAAGATATAAAAACCCTAACTCTTAGTGTCCTATTAATATTCACTATTATTCAATATGCTATATACTTATCATATTGCAATTTAGTTAGTCTACACTCTGATCAAAAAAAAAAAAAAAAAAAAAAAAAGAAATAAATTAAGATAATATGTATAAAACTCTAAACTCTTAGTTGCCTATTAATATTCACTTTGTTTCCAATTTGCAATATTATCATATTGCATGTTTTAGTAGTTACACTCTGATCTCATCAATGTTTGTGTTTTCCCTGCTTTCTTCAGTTTTTCTAATTTTCCAATTCATATTCTTTGCATCTGCTATGTCTTTTACTTTTTTTTTTTTTGTTCAGTTGTTCATGCCCTCCAAATGAACATGTGAAATATATTTTTCTATTGTTACATCTTGTACCTGACATTGACATATTGACTATCCTTGTAACCATATAAGACCATGTACCCATTCAATGACGTTAGGTCGTATGTCTATTTCGTCATTTATGGTACTGAAATTCAGCTCTGATATTACAACCAATGCATGTTCCTATAATTTCATTTTCACACGAGGAGAATGTACCTAGAAGATGGATTCAAAACTATTCCTTTTCTCCACTGTTTTCTTTTAGGAGAAGCGTTTATCTTACAAAAGCACTACAGAAAGAGGGAAAAATAAAACAGTATATGATAAGTACAAATCCGAAACTTTATTGTATCATATAGCACAAATCTTTGTTTTGATAAGTGAAATTCTCTCTCTCCTAGAAGACAATTTTTTGTTACGATGCTCTCGACCAAAGTCATATTTTTAAGGCTTAGCTGTTGCATTCTCCAACGAGTCGATTTCTTCTTGCAGCATGGCACACAGCAATTCGAAGCTACTGGGATGATGTTTGGTCCTCAGGCAGCGAGAGATTATACTCAAGCGTCACAACCCGAATGGTTACATATGCAGATTGGAGGAAGTTTTGAAAGGACAGCATAAACATAAGCAACCTGAAACTTTTCTCTGTTTCTTTGCTTTAAGGAAATCTATTACTTTTCTGACTATCCATTGCAAGACTCTGATTGAAGTTATAATCTCATTTCATTTGTAGAAAATGCATATAATCTGAATGTACATGTATACTGCTTCTAATCTCATATATGCATATATTAGATCATTTGACAGAATCCTTTCACATTAGAGATCCAGGACTCTACTCTTTTAAATTCGACTAGATTGGTTTTTTACTATGAAAACTGTGGATGTGACGATGAACTCAATAGACCGTTTAATTGCTCTCAATTGGTTTTTCAAGATACAATCTTTTACTATTAGACAACACCACTGTGTTTATCACGCGCCATAGCTTGATTTTTCTGTTTTAAGACATTAATTTACCAAAATAAAATGTCTTAATATAATACATTACCCTTGATAATTGCCAAACAAAATAAAGAACAGCCGACCATGTATAATCTAATTTGTCTTCTCGTTTTATATACGAATGTAAACAGGCAGAGGTTTCAAATTTAAATTCCATCAGCCACAAAAGCTTTCATCGATTTGTAAGCTTAAAGGACTAGGCCTATTGTGTAACTCATTATGTTATTCCAGTCCATTTAGACTTGGCTTCCCAAGTAATTAAGATAAAAAACAACAAAAGAAACATCGACACAGTACCTGCCATTCTCACTTTCCTGTGAAACAAAAAATACCAAGGAAGGGCACATCTAGAACAAATAAAATTAATATGCAATTATGGGAAGTTAATGAAACATTAATCACAAAAAAATTAATCCAAAGTGCATAATATTTATTAATATAGAATATTCTATACCTTATATGACATCATTTTTAGAAGCAATGCAAACAGGGAACAAACAAATGCAAAGTGAACAAAGAGTAAGACCATAAAAGAAAGCGAATGAAATATATCAATAACTTATAATAAAAAAATGTGTTATAAGTGCATATTTAAAAAGGCTTTTTGAACATACAATTAGCACGTGTGAGTGTGTGTGGGCACGTGCATGCATCGTGTTTTCACTTATTTCTTCACCTGATCTAACATCAAAACATTTTCTACAAAAGCTGATTTTTAAAGTATATCTGTATACTCATCAGACATAAAGAGGAAAAATGTTCAAAACACTTGCCGGAAGCAATAATAATCAGCACAAGTAGAAATTAAAAGGTCTTACATATACAATATTTACATTTCGATTGCATCACAGTCTCTCGAATTATATTTGCACCAATCATCATTTGCTCTGCTTTAATAATGACCTAGTCCTGGATCTGACTCAAAATTATTTTTTGATTAATTAGGTACCGACTGCGGTTGGAATTCATAATCTCACAATCATTGACACAACTTAAATACCATAGCCAAAGTTCTATTGATTCCCTATCCCAATCACTTGCAAATTTTTTTGCAGAAGTTCCTATTAGAAAGGAAAAATTAACCCCTTATTTGGAATAAATGAATTCCACAAAATTGTGGAATTCATTTACAAATCTAAATTGTGTTTGATATGATAAAGAAAATGAAGAATTCAATTCTATAAAATTAATTCTATAAATTTGAATATAACCAAATCAAATTCTACCAAAAAATGTGAAAATTTTCAAATGAATTTCACAAACTTAAACCATTCAAAATTTTATGATAAAAATATTCATCATCTCAGCCTTCTAAAATTATCATGCCAAGAGTATTCTAGGAAATAAAAACAAATGAATTTTCAATTTTGAATTTATTCCAAACATGGAAAATTCATTTGCAAATGAATTTTATCTAGAATTCATTTTAAGATGAATTTCACATTTTAAATTTATTTATATCAAACAGTGCGTCAAAGAATAAAAATGAACATGAGTCATAGGAAACTCTGGCTCTTGGCAATCTAATCAATAATGCACATAGAATTACAGAAAAAACATCAATCGCACTTCTAATCTTATAATTGCAAACTAACTTGGGATTGCTCAGTTCTAAGCTAAGTTAATTCGGCTAAATAGCAAACTAATCCCATTTTTTACACAAAATGTCAATGCGAAGTCTTAAAGGAAAAGAGATTAAGAAAAGTACCATTTACTTGATACAAGGTATCATAATTACTATTACGTAAAAGAACCAATCAGAAAAAAGTTAATATAACAATAACAAGTGCAACAATTCTACAAAATTAATTTTTTTAAAAAAAAAACCCATTATAAATAGAACTCATGTAGATAATTCTCACCTGAAATCTTCATTCTGTCCGAGAAAAGAGCAAGGACGCTATTGAGAATGGACCATAAATTGTAATTTTGAGCTAGAGAGTAAGTAAAGACATTTGAACTATCAGCCAAAGAATTTATTGAATGCTTGTATGAATTATCAGCCAAAGAATTTATTGAATGCTTCTTGGTATGCAAATAGATGGTTCAATAAAATACAGATTTCTAAACATATGGCATCATACGAAGAATAATATAATGAATATAGAAGCATGATGAGTACTACCTTGAAAAATATATTATTGTGTACAATATTTTACAACTACCAAGTGAACTTCAGAGAGGAATTTTTTCCACGATGAAGCAGTAATCCTTGAACATAGACTCTATAGACGTGTAACCTTCATGACAGGCTTTCATCTACATAAATGTGCAGAATTGTGATCCAGAAGATGATAAATCTTGTAATAACATATAATGGATTTTGCAAAGGACCACGGGAGAAAATTTCATAGATTTGATAATTACAGTAAACAGGAGGTAGGTGGTACCTTCTTCCTGTTATTCTTTGGCAATGCATGTGCATTTCCTTTGATGTTCTGTGAGCTCCTGTCATGTTTCACTGTGTATCAGTTGCAAATACTAATATTTCCTTAATTTAACATTTTGGTTTTTGTGACTCGCAGAAAAGGATTTAGTTTTTCAAAGCTGATTTCTTCACAAGAATCTTAGAAACTAAATGAAGTATTCTGGATCTGACACAATTTCCAAGTAGGGAATACCTGAATTTGCATCTGAAGAAACTTAACATATTCCACTGCCTCATCTAACATATCTGCAGTGTTCGTTTGCTGAAAGAAAGTAATCCAAAATCAATGATTGAAAAGTAAATTTTATAAAACTAACTCCCAGATTCAGCAAATTATAATGATCCGTGTACAAATAACATGAGAATCCAGGTAAAAAAAGGGCTTATGAATTTAGTGGTCGATTTCTTTTTTTTTTTTTTTTTTTCCCTTTTCCCAAAATTGGACTTGTCATCAGAACCACACAAAATATAAGGATCAGGCACAATTAACTGGTGCTATTGTACTACTAAGAAATTCCAAACATTCTTATCCAAAATCACAAATTTGTGCAACTGAAAGTTTACATAACCTTGGGAGATTTACTTCATGAACCATCATAACCTTGGGAGATTTACTTCATGAACCATATGAGGGATAAATTATATAAATGGTTACCTAATTGGTTTCATTAAGGTTATATAATTTCAATTTGTCATTTTTCAGTCACTAAACTTTGATTTTCATTTCAACATGAGTTTACTCGAATTCGGTTATCGAAACTATGACTGTTAAAATAATTTACCCAACATATGAGGAAACTTAGTGCAATGAGTTTATGAGTCCTCATTTATATTCCCCTCATTATTCTATCTTTGTTCAATGTGGGATTTCTGACACGGGATATCCCAACAACTTTATTTTCCTTTCACCCATCAAAAGGTAGTCAGAAATGCGTAGGCAACGCTCTTGGGGTACAAAACAGTTGACGTCTCTTTCATTATTGGAGAATGATTATGTTTCCTATTTGTATTAAGTTCTTCCTGGTGACTATAGATAGGCTACAATACTCCCTCTATTTGCATAGTGAAATACAAACAGGCGATTATCATGGACATTGGAGCACTTGCCAAACCACATGAGAGTCCTGTGTTCTTTTGTTATTCTTTTCTAATTTGTGTGTTTATTGATTATTTCTACTAAAATGTACTTCGTAGAATAAAAAGAGTATCTATATCAATATAAGCATAACAACCTAACAAGTTGATACATATGTACAGCATCGAGCAAATGTAAACACATTTTCCCTTATGTTTCTTTCTCCCTCCACTATACACACTCAAACTCACTAAAAGTAAAAGCTCAAATTATTTGCATTGGGCAGCAACTATCATATATTTTTCCACTTCGTGGAATCTCATATCTAAGAAACGTTAAGACAATTTCATAAGGTTTCTCATCAACTTGTTAACATGACCTACTTCACAATTAGCACACATAGTTAGTCCCAAAATAATGATTGTGTGGGAATTACTTGTAAGAAAGTTGTTTTTCTTGCTCTCTCTCTCTCTGTCTATCTCTCTCCCATGCTCTCTGACGAACGAGATTGAAAAAATGTTGTACCTTGCATATAACAAGTTTGTTTACAATGCTTGCTAAGATCCAAGTGCTTTGATGAACTAAAATTCAAAGGAAGAATAAAGGTTCATTATAGTAGCAAGTATACAAATGATTAAGAAAAGGAACATAAAGATATAATCTTTTGTAAATATTTCGCAATTTGGGCAGAGTGAAATGGATAGATCACTTTAAATAATTAAGGAAATTATCAATTTTAGAAAATACTTTTCAAGGGATGACTTATCCAGACCCAGTCCATAGCCAACCCCTGGACCAAATCAATGAAAAGTTCTTTTTTTGGAAAGAAGGGCAAATCTAAACATTCACTAGGAAAAAAAGATAAACTAGGGACAAATTTTTAAAAAAATCTCTATTGTGATTGGTTTAGTCTATATATAGTTTCATAGATAGGGTGTAGGCAAGTTTTATTCCCTTTTCAACAATTGTCAATTTTAAATTAATTCTTTTAATTCTACAAATATGTTAAGGCAACATTAAAATCTTTGAGAAATTGGATATCATAGTGTTGGGTTTAAATGAATTCCACAAAAGTTGGTGCAAATGAATTGAATTTCCATGTTTTATTTTTTGGTTAAAAGAACTCAATTTTGTGGAATTGGTTCTAACTAAAACATCAATTCTATCAAAATTTGATGCAATTTGAAATGAAACTCCATAAAATTTAACAGTTTTGGACTAAAATGCCCATAGCACAAAAAACTCTTTTTCCCTATCCTCTCTCTATTTGCAAATAGATTCAAAACGCATGGGATTATTCTTACTATGCACATCCACCTTTCTCTACTTATGTTTGTACTATTTTTTTCTTTCTTTCTTTGGCACACTTGAGTTTTTTTTTTAACGGAAAAATTTGTTTAATTAAAACAAAAATTGTTAATTTAGTTATATTTATTAATTGTTATTAAGTATAAGAATTTTTTTTGATATTGTTAATTGGTTTATATATTTATTATTTGATGTTAAGTATAAGAATTTTTTTGATAGAGTTGAAAGTTACGATTTTTAAAATTGCTATTAAGGGTAGTTCAAGAAATGACGATAAATGAATTTCAATTATAAAATTATACCAAGTTATATCATATATATCAAATATTCATTTTTGATGAATTCTAACTAGAATTAAAAATGAATTCAATATTTCTAATTCATTTAAACACTATAAATATATATATATATATACTAATTTCTCATCAATTTCCAAAACTTGAAAAAAAAAAAAAATCCACTAGAGAGGAGATTGTGGAATTCTTCTTAACATTCAACAAATTCAAGGAAAAACACACAAAATATCCCAAAAATGTCCTCTTTAAGGGTCCTTAAGAAATCAAACCACTCTCAACTAGCTATGACAAATTACAAACAAGTAATGCTTCCTTTACTTTTCCTTTGTCCATGTAACTGTCCACTAAAAGGCAAAGGTGAAGACAAAAGCATGATCTACTTGTTATAGAATGCTCCTCATTATGCAAGAACAAGATAAATAATAATGAGATTCAGATACGGGGAAAAATGAAAAAGAAGCACTATACTTTTACGGTATGTGTGTGTGTGTGTGTGTGTGGATATTTTTAGACCTATGAAAAAAAAATACTAACCAAAAACAAATTGCTATATGTATTTTAGCATTCTCTGAACTTCTATATACTTCATTAAAACACCATCAATTTAATAAATGAAAAGCAAAGATAGGCCTCCTCTCTATTCTAATGGCACCACATTATAGCCAACACCTTTGCACTCCTAAATTTACCTCTTCAACACTTAATGGGGAATGTATAATCAAATAACAAAAATATAAACAAAGACCTAGGGTATAATCAAGATGCAGCTACGCAGAGAATGCATAGTTTCAGATAAATGACATAATGTACAGCTAGAGTAAAATCTCATTGTATTTTTTGTAAGTTCCATTGAGAATGCCTTATAAATCAATTATTGTTCAAGAATTTTGGCGCAATCCAAATTGTCAAATTTTTTTTTTTTTTTTTTTTATTCATAGTTGTATGTATTTTCCACACACAGACCACTAAAACAAAATTGTTTTCATCAATAAAATCTTGATGTTACAGCTTAATAACCCTCTTTTACTTGTTAGTGTTAGGGATGAAATTAAGCTATGTAAGTGATGCTACTATATTCTTTTAATCTAATAAATTATTCCTTGTTATTCAAATTACAAGGGCATGATCTCTACTAGAAATTTTCCTCCTTCCACATTGATTTACATTATAAAAAGAGCAGCAATCAATAAATTCACTTGAAAAGAGATGATACACTCTCATGAGTGTAGGATTCTATGACTATATTCTCTATTTGAACCTTATTGAAGGGACAGCTATTGAGAATGTCTAGATTTTTGTCCAGTTTAATTTGGTTCCAGCACCTAACTGCACACATCCTTTTGCATTAATTGTTATTCCATTCTTAGGGCACTGCAAGCTCGACAAAGATACACATGCAAGGAATGGATCAATAGAAAGTGAAATGCAAATAGTAGTATCATAGTTTAGTGTCAAAACCACTACCATGATTCTGAATCCTCACATAAAATCATATATGAAACAAATCGATTTAAAATAGAGGAATACGGAACTTCCACTCATGAGTTGTAAATTAAAAACTGAAGTACCTAATTATTTTGATAAGCCCACATATATATACTAAGCATACGAATCACCCATAGGAGATTTTCATTTAGCCATTGAAACAAGTATCCAAATAGTAATGTTGGCAATAAATTCTCTTCCTGTCATTCCATATAACTTCGATTTGTCAATAGAACTTTTACAAGAATGAATAATTTACCTTATCCATGTTAGGCACAAGTTCTTGAAGCTTCCTTATCCTGTCACTAATTCGAGTTCTTCGCACCTAATTAAATCATGAAAAGATAAAAGCGTTTTGAGGACTAAAATCAAACACTTAAACCATAAATGAAAAATGTAGCAAATAGAGCTTACCCTCTCTGCAATACTCCTTGGATGTGTGGCGCAACCTCGCTTCGCCCTAACTCTACAAGGCACCGAGTCCTCCATTATCTTCTCCATCTCCATTTCAATCAAACTAGACATCCCACCAGGTGACTGTCCACTTTGCTCTCCTTTCTACCAAAAATAAAAATAAAATAATAATAAAAAAACATAAAATGGAAAACAGCAAAACACAATATTACAGAATAAAAGATCAGTTAAAACTTCACAAATTATCACAAAATAATCAAATTCTTCAAAAATTCAATAATCCCACTTAAAGTTATCAAAATACTAGAAGAAAAAGACAATACAAATTACTAAAAGCAAATGGCAATAGAAAATTTGAAATTATACTTACCAATGAAGATGGATATTTAGCCGATGAAGAATGATGCAACTCAACATCTCTAGCCCGTTTAGAACTGGATGACGAAACATCCATATTTGGTGACATGTAATCATAATTCGACGGAATTCCGAAATTAGAAAAATACCCATCACTTCCAATCCCAGAATTTCCAAGAAAATCAGCAGGAGAGCTGTTTTGCCTTTGAAAATCTGCCGGTTCAAAAAAATTACCCGGTTCAACCGAAGAAGTACCAAAAGGAACGGAATTTCTACTTGTAGGAGTGTTTGATGAAAGTAACTGAGTCAAGGTCTGGTTTGGCTTTAATGGGTCATCTTCTCCTTCTTCTCCTTCTTCTAGAAGTGCTTCTAACCAATTTGCCGGAGCTGAACGGAAACGCGCAAGCCCAAGGCCACCTCGATTTAGTTCGCCGCCACCACCGCCGCCGCCACCGCCTCCAGCTCCAGTACTAGAAGGTGTCGGTTGCATCTGCTTCTCAGTTAAAATAGTTAGGGAGCTTTGCTGTTGCTTTTATGGCGGAAATTCGGATTTTCTTTTCTTTTATATACATATATACATTGCTTCCTTTTATGTGTTTTCGCTTCGGTAAGAGTAACTAAACACTAGACCCTTCTTTCCTTTTCCACTATTTTTATACACTCAATAACTACAACACATGCGTCCATACATCTTATCTAATTCTCAAATCTGGACCGTCCAATGTCAACAAGATAATAACGATTTTCTGACTGATAAACATTTGACGGTGATTAAGAGAGGATAAGGTACACATTAAGAGGATGGCATAAAGTGAATTTGACCCCTGCAAGCCTTAGAGAGCTGCAACGTCATCGTTTTCTGGATTTGTTTTAGTGTACCCCATTGACGGTTAAAAACATCAAGAGGTAGTTAGCTACGTTTGGAGCGTGCTATACACGATCCAATTAGGAAATGCATGAGTGGGGAACTATTGGAATATAATGAAGCGCGTGGTATACTGAGAGTGGAAATTGAATTTTCTTTTTGTTACTTTTGATGATTGTATTTTTTCTCTCTTTATAAAATATTTGTCCCTCCCAAAACGTTTGCTTTTTCTGGCAAAGTTAAGGAGGGGTAAGTAGCTAAATAGCGTTGCACTGGCAATGCAACCCATCCACAAATACACAAAAGAAAAAAGGCCAAGTGAGACTAAGACGTTTCCAGATGGACTTTTCCTTTCTTTTCTTTTTTTTTTTAAATAAACATACAAATTGTAGGTTAACCACTTCTTAATCAATGTTGATAGTAGAAATTGGGACCCTTTGATTTCTTTTTAAAAGAAGGGAAAATAATTAATTAGTCCTTGATGTTTGGTCAAATTAACTAATTCGTCCTCGTATTTTATCGATATTAATTAAAAGTCTCCGAGATTTAATTCCGTTAAACTATTTAGTCCTTTCATCCAATCTTCTCTCATTTTCCCCTTAAAATGTGCAAAAAGACGAAAATATTCTCAAAATTATTTAAGAAAAGACGATAATATTCTAGGTTAATTGCTTCATTGAAGTGGAGGGGAACACAACTCTTTTCCAGATGTTAGTTAAAATCACCATTTATGTCTCCATCATTGGTCTTCACTTCAATCTAATTTTTGTAGCCTCCTATCAACTCCAACGTGGTCCGAACTGGGTTAGGTAGACCTTTGGGACTCAACCCTCGAGGAAGAGCTATAATGGAGAGGGTAAAATCTAGAAAGGATTTAAGAGCAAAGTTATATGCGAAACTTATTAAGGAAAACTGTTGAATCGGTTTAACTCGACTGCTTCAGCTCTAGATGTTGGGTGGATTTCTGAGTTGGTGAAGTGAATTAACTCATATTGCAATTGGATGATACCAATATTTCATGGTATCATGTTGTTAAAGATCATTCATTTAGAGGAAGTTCAGGTGATTCAATAGATTCTGACTCAGTTTGTAACGCCCCAAAATTTTCGAATCTTAAAATAATATTATTTTATCGGGTCATAAATGGTGCTACAGAAAGGGGGATGATATTTTATTTGGTTCCGGGAGTCGCGTATTATTTTGTCCCGAAAAAATTACTATATATGTTTTATATTTTCTTTAATATTTTTGGAGTATGTATGCATAATTTTTATGGGTAGAAAGTAAGTAATAAATATTTGTGGAGAATTTAGATAATTAGTGAATATATCAAGTCTTAATAAACTAATGATATCAACTCTCTTGAAATATTTTATATTCAATCATTTAATGAATCTTATGCTTATCTCCGAATATAAACACCAACATAATTGTTAATTACATGCTTAAGTTATAATTCAAATAACACAATCTCCGAAAATATAATACTTATACATGTCATAATTCTTAATTACACAACTTCAATTATGAGACAACCACTTTTCTCTTCTTCTTCTTCTCTTCACGACCACTTCCTCTTTCTTCTTCTTCTCTTGTTTCTTCACTTCTTACTGTTAAATCCCACCAAATAAACCCACCAACTTTGATTTAAGTAATTAATTTAGAGAATTTAAGCTTGAGAAAGTGATTTGTGGTGAATTAGTTTCAAGAAAATTTGGAATTCTTTTACTTAAGCCAAAGGTTGGGAAACTCTACCATGAGTAAAGGTAAGTTAAGCTTAGACTTTAATTTAAGTTGTAAAAGCTTATTTTAAGTTTAGATGTTCATAAAACACTTACCTTACTTGAGATTTTTTGATTTCTGTGCATTTATGCTATCATACATGTATTTTGGGAATTTTGGCGATGAAATGATTGATTGTTGAACTTTGTTGCAATAACATGCTCTTCGGTGATGTTTGATGAGTATTTTATATGTGTAGAAATTTTACTTGTATCTTTGTTGTTCATGTTTTTTTTCATGTTTAACAGTAAGCTGAATTTTGGAAAAATTTTATTGGGTAGATTAAGGACCTAGTTTTTGACCATTTCATTTTCCATTTTGTGTCTGATTCCTTCATAAAAGTTGTAGGTCTATTTCTTAGCTTTCCAACCCATCTCTTGTGTCCCATTTGTGAATACATACAACTTATGGCTGAAATACCTAAACTGACTCTGTTATGTCGGGCCACATGCATCACTGAATTGAGTGCCCATTTTGACCACTATAATGACAAGATTTAGTTCTGAGGTCTTCATGAAAGTTGTTACCCTGTGTCTTGAGACTGGCCTGGTTCTTTTGAGTGTTTGGTTAAGTAGGAATTCAATAAACATTGGACTTAGTTCTGCTGAATCGGGTCTGGACTATTGGTTTGTGTTCCTAGCTTCCATTGATCTGGGCTGTGGTCCCTTCATAAAATTTGTAACATTTTATCTTATCTTTCTAATGAATCTAATTTCATTCAATTTGGAGACCTATAACTCAAGTTATGTCTTAAAAACACAGCAAAGGTCAACGATATTTTAATGCTGGAAATTTCCTATGCCTTGACTCATAGGTTTATTTGGATAAATGTGTGTATGAATCATGTGTGATGAGGTTCTCTTGATTATTTGTATGTTTGAGGATTGATTTGACAAAAATAAGATATAAGTTTGAAAAGTGGTATTGTGGATATGTTTAAATGTATATAAATGGGAAAAATTATTGGAAATTTTGGGATAAAGTGTGGAATTAGTTTAGATACTGCATGATGAGGATAGAAATGGATACCTTGGTGCATAAGAGTTATCTTGGTTGAGAAGAAAATTCCTCCCCTTGGTTTTCATTAAAGGCCAAACCACTCTAGGTGGTAAGCTTACTTAATTTTTTTTTTTTGTATGTTGCTATCTACATTCTATGAATAGTATATTATTTTGATAATCTTTCATATGTTTAAGTTTAAAAACAAATGTTATTTAGTGTATGTCGCTTTAATTTATACATAAGTAAGTTATATTTTTTTATTGATAAGAAGTCTTCTTATGAAAATCATTATGATGTTAAGAAAGTTTAAAGAAAGGAATTTATGGAGAATTTCCTTATTAAGTATACTGATATCATATATATATTTTTTTCAATATTCCTTTTGAGAATGTGGTAATTTTTGTAAGTGGTAGTTGAAAATTGAAATGATGGTTTAAGTAATGAAGAGTTTGATTAAAATGGATTTTTGTTATGGTATCTATACATATCTTATGACATAAGTATGACTTATTTGATAACTTTCACATATGTTTAGTGTTTTTAAAAAAATGGGTAGTTTAATGTGTCATGTGCTTTGATATTTGCTACATACGTAAAGTAGTGATTCTCTTTGATTATCATACAGAAAATTTAATTATAGATTAAGTCACACCTTTCATTTTATTGATGTTAAGTGAAAAGTCTTCTAAAGAAGAAAATGATAATTATGTAAACAATTTTCTCATATTATAAGATACAATCCTATTATTATTTACCTCACGTATACTAATATTTTCAATATTTCCTTCAAGAATTTGTAGGTACTTTTTGTATAATTGATAATGTTGTAACTAATTTGACCAAATGGCATGAGGTATTAAAGTTCATGTATGAAAGGTTTATAGTACTAGACATATCGTGTCTCTGTGAAAGATTATGATTTTAATTGATTCAGCATCTATCCTATTGTTTTATAATGTATTGAAAGTTTATGTGAGATTTTTTGTTATGTGAGCCTTTTTTGTGTTCAGATGGATAGGTTTGCCTTATAAATGGCGGGTAGCGCTTATTTTTGATGGGTGGTCTTCGTATGGCCACAGTGGTCTTTCAGTGCCCATTGGCTGTGATGGGTGGCTTCATCAAATCTGCTTATGTTCATTCTGCATGAGTACGAGCCTTAACGAAAAATGAAATTTTATTTTTGCTAGAAAAGAATGAAGACATATTTGTATTTATAATCGTCTTATTGCTTTCAAAGTATTTGAATTGAACGAATGAGATTATATTATTTTATTAAACCTTACTTTGGAAATCAATGATTATGTTATCAAATGAATTTTCAAAGCATAATGATTATGTTATCAAATGAATTTTCAAAGCATAATATTCTGGTACATGGTTTTAAACATAAATAGTATATGTATTGGCATAATAAATGTGCAAGTAATGAATTTATGAGTTGAAAGAATTAAATTCTTTATTGCGCCACCCTGTCCTTTAACTCGATTCACTGTTACTGACGAGAGATAGAGGCTCACAGCCACCACACTTGTACAGAACCAATGGCTGCTCAGCGGACAACATATGCATCTACAGTTCGAAACACCAAGGAGAAAACTGAGATAGATAGATCCTTTATGTTAGCCATCGCCCACGATCCTTGCTTAACATCGAAACAACCTAGTCGATTCAAAGGGGTTCCTTCGATTTCTTTCTCAAATGTTGAATCCCAGAAGCTGGCCAATCAATTTCAAGATTCATTAAATGATTGAATATAAAAATATTTCAAAGAAGAGTTGTATGATTAGTTTATTAAGACTTGATATATATATACTGAATGCAATTAATGATTTGATATTAAACTTGTATTGAGATTAATAATTATAAAATAATACAAGTGTTGTTGTGTTTATGATTGTTATGTGGAGATGTTGGGAGTTTGGAGTTTAATGGGGTTTTTGTATTCACATGTTTGGCGAGCCAGTTTTTAAA